GAGCTAGGAGTGCAAGAGCACTTAAGTACCATTGAGCTAGGAGTACAAGAGCACTTAAGTACCTTTGTTTTAAATAATAGTTTGTTTTGTAAATGTAATCTGTGGATCTATGTTATTGTGTCTGCCAGCACTATTCATCATGTGCTTGTTGCTGTGCAGTAGGAGCTGTACAAAACATCCACGCTCCCTCCCCAAAAGAAAACAAGTTCCCACCACCGAAAGCTTTCAATCCAAGTTGAGTGACAATTGTTAGGGAGCATGAAGAGAGACATGGCATTTATCAACTATTAGGTGGAGTTTTCAGCAGGGAAAGGGGAATGTAAGCAGTCTGAAACTGGATGAAGATTTATATTATTGAGACATATGGATGATATATGAATATTGAGATTGTATGGAAGAATATTGGAAGAGGTTCTGTTTCAAAATCTAATGATACTGCTGATATCTAGTGGTATTAGGCTGATGATATCGGGTGATTTGGAGGTAGGGTTTGGTGTCTTGATGGACTTTCAAAGTCTGGAAATGATGAGGTGGATTTAATTTGGTAGAGCGAAGAGGTGCTGAGACAGTAGGGATATTGTCAAAGCTGCAGTGTGGGAAAATGGTCTGAATGCAGAGTGTGGGGTGAGCTAGTGTTAGCTAATACCAGGGTAATAAGAAGTAAGAGCCTGGACAAGTATTTTAGCAAGAAACTACTTTGTAGGTAGAACCTTTTTCAGATGAATGCCATTAAGCCCTGAAAGAGACTTAAGAGTCAGCTAAGAGTGTCAGAGCAGTTGGGTTGTGGTAAAGTTGGTGATTTGTGATTCTTTTGTAAGAGCTGCTTAGACTTGGTTCTACAGGATGTTAACCCTGGGCGCCGTCAGCCCGCCAGCCCCTTTAGTTTTGCACAGTTGATCCTGAGTTTAGAGCTGGCCTTATCTAGCTAAAATTATGTAAGATGCTGATTTAAGAAGATAATATGTTGTTATTGACCAAATGTTGACCTCCTTCCCTGCTTTTAACAAATCTTGAAAGGGAGTAATTGTGGTTTGTATTGACATTTAAAAGGAGGCAAGAGCTCTACCTCTGTCCGCCACAGAGATGGATATATGTATTTCTGTCTGGTAACAATAAATAATAGACCCATGAAAGCCAATATTCTTTTCTTCTTACCCGCTGTGTAGCTGAGAGTTGGAGGCAGCACTAGAGGAAAACAATAGAGCTGGCTACCTGAAGATGGCTCATGACAAAGACAGATTAGTTTTGTCAATTGACTGAGGTACTTATCCTCACCTCTGCTTTTTCCTCCTGCCCTTCAGTCTCCCTTCTCCGCTTGCTGAGGCTCTTGTTCTAGGTGTGTCTTCCTTAAGGAACAGATTCAGTCCAGGTGTATGGTAAGCCAAGATCGTGATGGGGGTGACTGAGAGAGATGAACTCCTACCCCTAGCAAATAAAAAAGTTGTGTGTGCCCCCCCCTTTCCCCGCCCC